TGCAGAAGCAGTGGTAGGAGCCGTCTGTGTTCAGACACTCGCCGTTGACGCAGTACACTTCGTTCTGACACTCGTCCTGGTCTGCCCACGCACAAGGACAGAGCAACCTTTCAGGCTGGTGGACGCGGGCAATGCGACCCTTTCCCTGCCCAAACGGGGACCTTGGGGGCTCTTGCCACCTCTTCTCTCGTTCCCCAGGAGGGTCACAGGAAGTCTGCCACCCAGACCTGGCCCTGTAGCGTGGGCAGCAGGGACAACCCTGGGTGCAGCTGTCCCTCCATACACAGTAGGGTGCCTGCTGCTCTTTGAGGCCATCTTACCAACACACTCAAGCCTGCTGGAGTCATAGTAGTAGCCTGTACGGCAGAAGCACTTGTAGCCTGGCACTGTGTTCAAACACTGTCCGTTGCGGCAAAACTCGGAGCCAAATATCTCACATTCGTCTATGTCTAAGAGAGGGATGAAGGGAGGGAGAGAGTGTCTCAGGGACCAGAGCCATAGAAGCAAGGTGGGCTGGGTGTTGTACCTGCAGAGAGCCAGCACGGCACTTGGCCTGGATCACTTATAGGTCCCCTAGTGAACCCCCCACCTCTCCCATTGGCCCTGTGCATGGGAGCAGAGAGGGAAGCACCCACAGGCAGAGCAGGAGGAGGGGGAACAGGATACTTTCACAAATAGGAAATTCATGTGTGTCTCTGGAAGGCTGAGAATACAACCCCCTGGAGGTGACACACCAAAGATCAAGCCAGTCAGCCACTGGAAGATCTGATCAGTAACTGGAAGGGTTGTGTCTTACTGGACCTCATCCTTGGTTTGAAACGGGCATGGGAGATTGGCACCAAGAAAGAATAGCTGCCAGCAGCGAGGCAGGATGGAAGGAAGGGGCACTTCCAGCTCAGTAACACTGGCAAACTGGGATTTCTCTGGGTGGAGGAGAGTAGCAGCAGGATGTTAGCATACCCCACCACAGCCCTGGGGAGGTATTTCTGCAAATGCTTCTCCATGCAGGGCTTTGCACAGCACCCTTCCTCCTCCCCCTGGAAGAAATGAGAGAGAATGGTGCTGGTACCTGTGAAAGAGACTTTGCCTGAGAGCAGATCTTCCTGGGGTATGTAGCCCTTCCCAAGAGGGCAGATCTCTTGATACTCCACTGGCCAGGAGGTAGATGCCAAGGTGAGGTGGGAAGAAAAGAAACAGCTCGTTAGTACAACAAAGCTGGAGCTGGCAGCAGCGCAGTGGCCTCGCCTGCTGTGGTGGGGCCACAGTCCTACCTGTTCCTGGCATGGGGCAGGGGTAAGTCTCACAGTTGTCACCCCAGGCTGCCCCCACAGTACAGCAGCACTCCTCCTTGGTGACGTTCTTGGCCAGGACGCTGTCACAGAGGCGAACGTCGCTGATGTGGTAGTAGCACTGCTTGCGCTCCGCGCTGTCAGAGAGGCGGGCTGCGTGTGTCTCGGGGCCCTCTAGAAGTCAGCAGAGCAGGGATGGGATGGGGTCCTTGGCGCCCCAACGCAGCATCCCCCACCTAGGAGGTCCCAGAGCACACCCATCATTGGCAGTGTGGCCTTCCCAGGTTCCCAGTTTCAGGTGCCTCAGCTCTCCCCAGATGAAAGCTTGCCCATGCCAGTGTGGGCTCATACAGCTCTGGCAGCCGCTCAGTTTTATCTCACCCCAGCCAAGGCTACCACGCTCCTGCTCTAGCTGCCACCCATGCTTCCGTCCTGGCTGCTACTCACCCATGGCTGCCCGGGGCTTGCAGCGCCCTGCCACTGTGTCATACTCCTCGTGGTCGCTGGGGCAGAGGCACAGGAAGGATCCCTCCACGTTCTCACAAAGCGCGGTCCCGCACACGGCAACCATCAGCTCGCACTCATTGACATCTGCAAAGCAAGGGGCAGTGGTGGGCAGTGAGAGCCCTGCCTCCGCGTGAGCAGCCTGTGCACGGTCTGCAACATGGGGTCACCCTTCAGCAAGGAGATGAAAACTGCTAGGGACAAGCTGAGAGCTCTGTCACATCGTGGCTCAACACAAGTCTGGCAAGAGCTTCCTGCCCTGCTCTCAGTGGATCCAAGGAGCCTGAACTCCAGCTTGCAGTGGGCCACTGGATCACAGGATCATCCAGGTTTGAAGGTCTCTAGTCCAAACCCCTGCTCCAAGCATGGTCAGTTATGGAATCTGACCAGGCTGCTAAGGGCATTGTCTTGTTGGGTCTTTAAAACCTCCACGGATGGTGACTCCACAGACATCTTGGGCATTTGTTCCACTGCCTGCCTGTTTTCGTGGTGAAAACTTTTTCCTTTATATTATGCCCTGCCTGTTCTCTCTAGGCACACATTAAAGTACCTCTCTAGCACCTTCAGTCCCTTCAACCCTCAGGCACCTCCTCTCCACCTGCAGAGAAGGGCTCCATGTTCACTGGGACCCACTTGCTTTTTCATAAAGCTTTGCTCCTTTGCATTCGCAAGGCTCTGCTGTGCTAACAGGAGAGGTTTTGTCTCCATCAGCTGCCCTGTCCATGCTCCAGGAGCCGTCACACAGGAGGGACACCAGCCTGGCATCCATTGACGGCTCTCCCTGGCTGGCAGAGTGGTCACAGAAGACTCACCGACGCAGTAGTGGCCGGAGGGCAAGCTCTCGTAGCCGCGGTCGCAGAGGCAGCGGAAGGAGCCGTCCAGGTTCTCGCAGAAGCCGTGGCTCCCGCACAGCGTCTCATTGGCGCACTCATCTATGTCTGCAGCAGAGAGGAGAGCTGGAACTGCCCCAGATCCAACCTCTCCCAATGGACCACCCCGCCCAGGCCCTTCTGATCTGACCCCAAGACCTGGGAATGGGTCAGGCATTCCCTTAATGTGAGGGACTGGGTCTGACTGCCCCATTCACTCCCCTGCTAGGAGTGTGCGTGTTAAGGGAAGTTTCCTGCAGCATCCAGAACTGCAAAGAGGCCATGTGGGTAGAGCAACAGGAGCAGGGTGGGAAAGGGAAATGGATGGAAAGCATGGGAGGTGGCTGGCAGGGGCGACTGAGGGTAGCACAGGTCCGTGCAGAGGGGTAAAGGGACACAGAGCCTATAGGATCACATCACCAGGAGATACAAGGGTGCAATGGAAGTATGTGGGGCAAGTGCAGACAGATCTAGGATGATACCCTCCTGCCCCACTTTTCTTGATCTGGTCTTTCTCCCACTGATATATTGCTAGGGAGTAATCTCTGCCATGCACCAGTGGGGTTGGACAGTCACTGCTGGGTCTTCTGCCTACAGAGGGCAGGTTTACAGCCCTGCTGGCTGCATCCTGCTCCCCTCCTGCTGCTGCATGGGACAGATTTCCATGGAGCAGCCAGAGTGGCTCTGTGACCTCCCAAGGCCAGTAGCAGCTCCATACGCCAAGCGTGAGCCCTGGCCCAGCCCAGAGCGCAGCAGCTGGCAGAGGCTCTTCCTGGCTGCAGCCTTCCCTGAACCAGGGGGAGCCTCAAAACCCGAAGAAACCCGTTTGCTGGAGCCTGAAATCCAAACTCAGACTCCCCAGCCTAGCACACAGTGGTACTGGCAGCCTTTTCCTTCACCCAGCCCTGCCAGGCAGGTGACTAGCATAGGCAACAGACCTAGCAAGCATAGCTTACAGGGAGCTGTGGTCCAGCCCCAAACCTGGAATGGCTGTAACCTGCTCAGGACTCTCCCAGAGCGGAAAGCAGCACAATGCAGTGTCTGTTCCAGATGCCAGGAAGAGAGAAGTCTAGACACAAGCAGGCAGCTCAGCCAAGAAAACAAACTCTCAGCATTATCTGCCTCTCCACCAGCCACACATTTCCTCCTCCTCCTTATCCCTCATGCGCCTGGTAGAGGGGTCCCTCAGCCACCCTGTCAGTGCCAGGAGTAGGGACAGGAACACCCGGGGGTGTACTCACCGATGCAGTCACCCAAGGGGGTCCAGTGGAAGCCAGGCTGGCAACCCATGATACACCGGTAGGAGCCCAGGCTGTTCTGGCACCGCCACGTGCCGCAGATGGCATCCCCGTAATCTTTACACTCATCCACGTCTGCAGGGAGGAGGGCAAGGAGATGGGGACCCTCCTTCTTCACTGTAGCACTCAGGTCAAGTCCAGTTGACCAGAGGCCCTGAACCATTGCTAGTCCTCCTTACAAGTCACCAGCAACTTTTGGTGCTGGGAGCAGAACTACCCTACCCTTAATGGCTGCACCCACCCTCCCAAATCCTAGTGATGAGCTCTCACCCATGCAGTCATCAGTCTCCTGGGAGTGTTTGAATCCATTTTCACACAGACACCTGTAGGAGCCTTCTGTGTTCAGGCACTGGCCTTGCGAGCACCGGGACTTGTCTGCGCATTCATCCACATCTGCAAAATCAGGCCAAAATTGTCAACCTGATCTCACAGCAAGGGAGGGAGCAGAGGGCAGGACCCAAGGTATGCCGCTGCCATCCTCCAGCTCACCTTGGCAGCTGACTCCGCCAGCTGTATTTGAGAAGCCAGGAGCACAAATGCAGAAGTAGGATCCGTGACTGTTTAGACACTCCCCATTGGGGCTGCAGATCTCGCTGTTCAGGCACTCGTTCACATCTGCAAAGGGAGCAGAGTCAGGGCCACACACCCAGGCCTGGGGAACATCCTTCACCAAAGCCACCTGGATTCCCTCTCCCCTAGTCTTTTACAGGCAGCCCTTGCAGGGCTACTGGCCCCCTGGTTTTCTTGCCATGGAAACAGGTATTTCCCGTCCATGGTGATCCTGCATTTGACTACAGCTTTATGGATGTGCCACGCACAGTGGCATCACCTGCCTTGGCACTGGCATTCTTCCTGCCAAGAAAGAAGGGGGATCCACAGGGAGGCTGTACGTCCTGGACCCAGAGGGCTGCAGGGATGGGGTTCATACCTTCACACACGGTGCCGTTGATGAGCTGGAAGCCAGCCTGGCAGTGGCACTCAAAGGAGCCCGGGGTGTTCCTGCACTCTCCCCTCAGGCACTGAACAGCCGGGTCATCACACTCGTCTACATCTGCCAAGCAGAAAGGCACAGCACAGAGTGAGGCCCCAGCTCTTGCTGCCACTGGGGAAGATCCCTAGCCAGAGAAGCCATCACCCAGCTGTTGGCCTGCAACAGGGGTTTGAGCTGCCCTCCCAGACCATCCCACCTGGGAGGGCAGAGATGAGGGCAGAGGCAAACCCCCTCTTCAGCCAACCGCACAAGAGCAAACATAAGCAAAGTAACTCAGCACCAGCCATACCTTCTGTTGCACTGCTTTCCTACCTGCCAGACTTGCCTACAATGTCGCTCCCCTGGCAAAGCTGGCTGGGAGCCTACATCAGCCCTTACCCAGCTGCAGAGGTCCCCACAAACCTTCTCCCACCCAGCTCCCCCAGGCTTTGGCCAGAGCCTGGTGGCACCCCAAGGACTTTGCTCACAGCAGAGGACAGAGGGGTACTTTAACAGAGGGCTGCGAGGTGCCAGCAGACCACCAGTGCTGGCAGGCCCATGAGGACCCTGCTAATCAGAAGGATGGGCTGGTGTGCAGGTGGCAGAAGACATGCTAGTGGTGAAGGTCCTGCTCTTCTCTTCTCCCCCACCAGAAGCTAAAGCCCTGAGACTGGCAGCTCCTGAGGACAGGGACCTTCTCTTCCCCTTCACAGAGCACTGAGCATGCCACAGGCATAAACAAGCATCGCTCCCTACCACCTCAGGAACGGATTCCCAGCTATTTAGTCTCAAAGAGTTGTAAGTAGCAATATTCTTGAATCCTTCTGCAGATGAACCATAACCTAGTTTATTTATCACAAAACTATCATGAAACCCTTATTTGTCAAATATGAAATCCAGATTCACAGACAAGGCCACCAGCCAAGGCAGGGAAGAACGTGCCATCCTGCCATCAGGTCATCGTGACCCAAACGCTATCGAACTCTGATAAGGTGCCCTTGTGACACGGCTGGGGCAAGGTGGCCGAAAAGGGGCTCACGTGGAATCCTGGGAAAGGAGGAAGGCAGATGGAAACGATCAAACCACAGTTCTTCCATTGTGCCCAAAAATCAGAAGGAAAATAAGTTCATTTCACAGTGGCTTTCTCAGACACCAAAACAGATGAGACTAGAGGGAGTAAAGCCTCCCTCTCCTCCTCCATTGGAGGCCCCCATGCAGGAAGATCTTCTGAGAGTCACACCAAAGGCAAGATCTTTTGTTTACCAGCTATGTGCAGGCTGCAGAGATCTGCAGTGCTCCAGAGAGAAATTCACAGCACATGGCCAGTCTTTACATCTATACCTTTGCCAGCTCTGACCTCTCCCCTCCTTTGCCCCAAACAGGGAATCTGCATCAAGCCATCTCAAGCCCAGGCTATCCCCTGGAGACAGTCACCAGGGGTGGAGTTTCCCTGCCTGTGCTGGGGCAGTTGGGCTGCAAGGCTGGGACTGAATGCTCTCATGTCTCAGCAATGAAACCAACACGGATGCTGGTGTTAACTCTCTGCCATGCATACCTGGCACAGCAGAGCCTGTGAACTAAACTTTCCTTTTTAAACACATCCAAGTTTAAAGAGGAAGAACTTCTTTACTGTAAAGTTTACAGACCACTGGAACAGGTTCCCCAGGGAAGTCATGGAATCTCCTTCCTTGGAGACTTTTAAGACCCATCTGGATGCATTCCTGTGTGACCTGCCCTAGACTAGATGGTCCTCCTCTGGCAGGGGGGTTGGACTTGACAGTCTTCAGAGGTCCCTTCCAACCCCTAACATTCTGTGATTCTGTGAAGTTACATTACAGGCTGGGGAAAAAATAATGAAACCTGGGTGCCCACAGTCTCTCCACTAGCTGTGGGCCCAAGATTTCTCCCCCTGTTGAGGACCTGAACTGAACAACATACAGGCCCTCTCTGCCCATGTTTCCAGGCCTCCTTTACCTCTCTGGTCTTTGTCAGTATCCCCCAGTTGTTTTGCCAATGACCAGGCCCAACAAAAATGATACCACCACCAGCAGGAAGATGAACCAATACACAGACTGTATTGTTTACAAGAAGGACATTCCATGAATGATCGCTGGGGGTACAAACAGATCAATCAGCTGGTACATAAATGACGCCACCCCCAACAATCCCACAAAGGACGTAGCTCGGCCCACAACAGGTGGTACAAACAGAGACCCGAGGTTGCCCACAGTTGGCATGGGAAACAGCCAGACCAGCAAGCTGAACACATAAGAGAAAGGTGCCCACATAGTGACTCTCACCTGATCGGCCCGCGTTCACAAAGGTCTAAACAGACTGGGGCCCAGCTCCAGGGAGAGTCAGGAGGTCTGCCCTGAACCAGGAAGCTCTGGGGAGTGCACTCCACACACAGACACTCCTGACGCCCTGCAAGTGGTCCCGGCTTTTATCCCCAAGCAGGGACACCTGCCTGGGGCTCATTTCCCTTATGGCTCTCCCTGCAGGGCCGGCCGCACCCTGGGGGGAAGCTATAAGGCAAACTCACCACCTCTGTATGAAGGGCTGTGGGAATCACCCATATGTCAACCTTAATTCAGGGCTCGGGGTTCAGACCCCAGCATTTCACCAGGTCATTACTACAGAAGTCCCATCAATGAGTCCTTCCCCTCCATCCCTTTCCTGTATGAGGAAGATCACCTTCCTGCTGCTCTAGGTGACATCCACTTGCACCTCTTTCACTCTCTGCTGGCCAGCGAGTTAAAGAGCTGGACAAGGATCCTGAGGCTAAAGCAGTCCCCAAGCCCCATGAATAACCCAGCTCTAGCTATGTCTCTTCCCTCATTTGCCCCAGCACCCACTCTTCTGCCCCTGGGAAAGGGATACCTTCACACACGTTGCCATCCCTGGAGACGGCGTAGCCGGTGTCACAAGCCATACAGGAGTAGGAGCCCTCAGTGTTGAGGCAGAGTCCGGAAGGACAGGCAGCCTGGGCCGTACACTCGTTGATGTCTGCATAAGCATATGAGGGAGAGCAGGATGAGTGGGAAGGAATCATGGCTGTGGGCAGATGTGTTGAAAAACCAGCCAATATAGATGGTGGCTAGGACTCACAAGGCCCAATACCTTGGCAGCTCTTCCCATCAGGTGCCAGCTCGTAGCCCCGGTAGCAGGAGCAGCGGAAGGAGCCATCCAGGTTGATACACCGTCCGTGAGCACAAGTCCCCTCGACAAGGCACTCGTCCACATCTGCGTGACACAGCAAAGGCCAACATGGCATGGCAGGGTGCTCAGGGCCATCCCTGCCAGCCAGGCCACAAAGGTGCTGTGCCCTGGATGTGCAGGCTGGCTGCCTGTGGGAGAAGGGTGCTGCCTGTGTCCCTGCTCTTTCTGAGGCTTGCAGGGAGCACCGCTGTGAGGGGCGAGGGTGCTGCCCAGAGGCAGCCTGAGCTCCTCACCAATACATCTCCCGTTCCTGGGTCGGTAGCCATCCCCACAGCTGACACACTTGTAGGATCCCAGGGTATTGACACACTTCCCACTGTGGCAAGGGCTGGGATCCATGCACTCATTGACATCTGCCAAGAAACACACTCCTTTCAGGCTTCCAAAGACAAACAGTGCAGCCTTCTCCAGGATGTTCCCTCCAACTGGGTCCTCAGGATCCTCCGAGGCACAGTGGTGCCCAAGATGAATGAGATGGTTTGCCAGGCCTTGGGCAACACTTCTTACAATCCCACTTATCACTCAGGATCCTCCACCCACACCTGATGGCTGACAATCCAGCAGTGAAACTCACTGCTGCAGGATGTTGCCAAGGCCAGGAATGTGCATGGGCAGAGAAAGGAATCAGAGAACATCTGTGCAGGACTGTTTCAACAAGGACTTTCATAACTGTGATTACAATGCAGCCTCCAGCTCAGGAAGCCCTTTAGGCAAGTGCTTTCTGTAGGCCATGCTGAGGGAGCAGCATTCTGTGCGTGCCCTGTTTCCTGTACTGCCTCTTAAAATAGCCTCCCACTCTCTGTTGGAGATGAGCCACAGAGAAAGTGGTATCTTTGATCAGGAACAGCATATGTTCACAAGGTTGAACGCTCTGAAGGTCCCAGGTTGTGCCACGTGAGTGGCGATGCTATGGGACAGGTGGCCCAAGTCTCTGTAGCCTGGTCTCTCTGCAGCCCACTTGCTAGCATGAGGGTCTGGTGACAGAGTCAAGGTGGCATGAAAATGGATGAGCACCTCCTCTCAGAATGGGAAGCCGGCATAACTGGTCATGAGGGATCTCCCTGGGGAGGTGGGAGAGGCCCTTGGGAGAACTACCCACTCTCTGCCCCTCCTGCAGGCAGAGGAGAGGACAGGCAGCCCTCAGGGAGGGCACAGAGCAGAAAAACGTTGGGCAGGGAGGGTCCTTCCTTCCTTCCTCCCATCCAGGAGACCACAGAGTGGTGAGAAAAGGTGTTCAGCCCTGCACAGGGTGGGTTGGAAGCGCAAGAGAACAGGAAGCAGCAAGCTTCACCTTCACACTGTCCTCTGGGGCCCATGGCAAAGCCCTCCTTGCACTCGCAGCGGTAGGAGCCGGGGCTGTTGATGCACCGCTGTCCTCGGCAGGTAGACGGCTGCTTGCATTCGTCTCGATCTGGCAGCAGACAGGGAGACAGGCCTCAAGTCTTCCCCCTCCAGTGTGGGGAAGGCTGGGTGCAGGAGAGGAGCTGCTCCACCCGCAGCAAGCTCTGCCCAGGGGACCCGTGCCGGGGCTCTCCTCTGTCCCCCACCTGTCCTAGCATCCCCCTTGCCATGAAGAGGTGGCCAGGGCTGGCATCACAGGCTCCTGCCCAGATCATCGTGGGCAAGGTCCTGTCCCTGCGCGAGCAGGAGAGGGTGATGCCTATCGATCAGGCTGTCTGTGGGCAGGCCTGGAGGCAAAGAGGGAGTGTGTGCAGGATTGGGTGTGTGTGCCCTGTGTGCATGACTCTGTGTGTGTGTGTGCATGTGCATGAGGGAGGGAGACTGGGGAGACCCTGGGGAGGTGGCAGCCCTGTACCAGGCAGACACCACTTACCCTCGCAGCTCTGCTTGCCCTCCGAGACAGCCAGGCTGTACCCAGAGTAGCAGAGGCACAAATAGGAGCCCACACTGTTGATGCAGCGACCTTTTCCTCCACAAGGCTCTTTCAGGCACTCATCTTCATCTGTGCCCATGCAAGGAAGGAAGCCAGGCAGTCACCACCCATAACTGCCTGCCAATCCCCTGCCAGCCCCATGGCGCAGCAGGTGGGCAGGGGCTCAGCAGAGCTGCCAGAAAACCTTCCCCCTAGAAGCCTGAAGGACTAAATGGTCTTTTGAAGCCCAGCAGGCAGAGGAGGTGCCAACTTACCGATGCAGCGGAGGCGGCTGGGGTCCAATGTGTAGCCAGGGTGGCACAAGCAGCTGTATCCCTCTGGGGTGAGCACACAAGTGCCATCTCCGCAGGCTAGGGGTGAAGAGGCACAGCCACTAGCCCCTAGGAAGAGAGAGCACGGGGTTGAGGGCAGCACTGAAAGGGTGCACGGAGTCTAGCATCTGCCTTATGTACCCAGCACCATGCCACAGGCTGCTTTTTCCCTTCCTGGAGAGAGATACTGAGCCTGCTCCTCTTTGTCTTCAGGCAACTTGCACTCACAGGGCTGCAGGGAGGACATGGCAGACCCCACCACCTCCTCTGGTCTGAGCCCAGCTGGGATGCGCCTGTTCCCT